CTTCTTGATAAAACAATCGACTTGAGCGTAGTAATACCGTGAATTTCACAAATTAATAGCACCAAAAAAAGTGTTAAAACATATTCATGCATCAGCATAATCGGCCGAAATGCAGTTAAATTCGTCATATTTTATTCGGGGTAAAAATAATGTCAAAAAAACTTAGGCGTGATATGACTTAAAAATACTACTAAAAAAAGGATGCTTTTAAATTTGCTTTAAATTTTGATTTATTCATGAATCAACTGGTTACAAATCTCTTTAACGACAAACGTGCCTTCAAAAAAATTTGTTTTTTACGCTTGCAAATGAACTGTTCAGAGAAAGACAATTTTCTCAGAGCTCAAACAAAGAGTAATAGAAAATTAACAAAGCTACCCCTATTTCTGTGCAGAACAACAACAGAGTAACATCCAACTGAGTTTTGAAAACTCTTTTCTTGGAAACCATTCTTCTCTAAAAAAAAAACTGGAACTAAACCAAACGAAAAATTATTGGAACTAAGCAAAAAATACGTAACTCGCGAATACTGCTTTACTGCTTGAAGCTTTCATAGCAGACAAAGTAGAACATTTTTATATAGTTCATAAGACGGTTATCCGAAACAGAAAACTTAAAATACAGTTAACAAAAAAAAAGGAAAAGTATATGTTACAACTACAGAAAAGAGGAAATCAGATATTGAAGTTAATGTTATTTACAGTCCATTATTACAGCTGCAGCGAACTGAATTCTATGAAACAAAGAATAATAAATGAAATAATTTTAAAGACTGTAATATAAAATCCACCCTATTTCTTACTAAATGCAACACCGACAATCAACTTGCCTATTAAAGGTAATGAACGTCATCCAAAAAAAAAGAAATATTACTTTTTTTTTAATGTCACTTATTGTCGAAATGTTATACAAATATTATAAATGCTATTTAGGAACACCTAAGTAATCTATTTGATCTATTTGTGCTACCTGTCCTTTTCCTTTTCTTGCCATTCTTGACAACCTTCACAGCTTTCGGCATATTCTCTTGCCTAAAACAGCGTCCAACTAATCCTCAAAGTTTCATACCCAACTAAAACACCACCTTTCCTTCTCCTCCTCCACCTACTCTTAAAAATAAAATTTATCTAGAGAAGAAAAAAAAATAATACAATTGTACTCAATGCAACAAACTGACATCAAAAACATTTTAAGTACAAAAAAAAAA